CGCGCCCGCGCACGCACACGCACGTATACCCTATTATTGCATTGTCCAATCGTGCGCAACACTCACACGTGCTCACCCTTCGAAATTACACTCAGATATCTCTAAACACCCTTTGTCGCTCCCCAACCCGACTTATGTATGAAAAAGAGGCCTACCGACTTAAATGATGCACCTTAGATTTCACTTTTGCTGCTATTTTAATTAAGAAAACTCGTATGATACGCGCGCGCACACACGCACACACAATTTCTTAAAATCTTCGTATGAAATTTTAATTTATATTCTATCGTATTATTATATCTCAACACATCTCCTTCCACTACTATTTATCGTTTTTTAAACTATAATTTTACGCTTGTTAATCAATGCTATTCCTATTGTTGCACCGACGCATATTCATGGGTCATTTATACATATATGTATATATTGTTTTATATCTACTAATGTCCATTGCTTTTATAGTTATAGTTTATATGTTAATAGTTATCATTCTTTGTTGTTTACATTTAAATCTTCTACTTTACGAAATCGAACCAAGTGCGCGTTTTCTTAATTTGTTTGTTAAATACTTATTACGTTTATGTCATTGTAAATTTATTTTAAACGATTTGTTATAAAACCTCCTACATTATATTATATCACATTCCATTCATCTCGTATAAAAAATTTAGATATTTTTTATTGATTGCAATTACTATAAAACATTGAAAATAATTGTTGTTATCGATATGCTCAGCAGCTATGTTAAAATGATTTTGCTTCATTATAAAATTGGGCCCATCAGTGTTAGGAGTAAATTAATCTCACGTTATAATATTGCAAGAGTTATAAGTAAGAGTATCAATAATAATCAATGATAATAATAAAAAATAATACCAATTGAATAGTCGTAGTAGCGAATCTTAGAGCAAATAAGTAATTAGATGGACGATAATTCCAAGATGTGATACAGTAATAATACGATAAAATGTCCTTTCGAACAATTATTTTTTGATGGCAAAACGGTTATTTGAATAAAAATAAAAATTGTTTTTAAATTGGAACATCTTTTCGTGGGTGTAATTATTCCTGGCTGTAATGTAATTATTGTTTTTTTATTATGAATTTTCGTTACTGGCACTGCCGTGTGTGGTATTACAATGGGTAGTATATAAGGAAAAAGTTGGAGCGAAAAATACTTGGAAAAAAAAAATAAACGGCCGAAGAGGGACATTAAGGAGGTGAAAGGAGTGAGTGAGAGAAAGAGAGAGAGAGAGAGAGAGAGAGAGACAGACAGACAGACAGACAGAGACAGAGCGAGAGTGTCAGAGAGCGGCAGGAAGGGGAAGAGAGGAGAGCGAGCAAGTGAGTAAGAGTAAGCGCAAGAGGGTGGGGGAGAAACAAATAGATACAGCAGACAGAGAAAGAAGCGTTTATGCGTTGAAGAGAAGGAGAAAAGTGAATACACACGTAAGTTCATAGATACCGAAAATGTAATGTTGCGTTAGCATATATACGTACGCGCGTACGACATTAGTAAATAGAGAAACAAAGAGCAAAGGGGTTAGGGATGTTGGAGAGAAGATAAGCGGCATACACATGTGTGTGCAAGCCCGTTATATGCGCGACAGAGCGACAACTACATACTTATAGGCACAAGTGACAGAGAGACAGTGGAGAGTAAGAGAATGAGAGAGAGAGAGAGAGAGAGAGAGAGAGAGAGGAAATTATAGTCTCACTCCCAAGCAAAGATAGGAGCAAAAAAGGATGAAGAGAGTCAAAGTCGTACGGTCGAGCGGGTGAGGAGGAGGGGTACGGTCATGCATGTGTGCGTAACTGCAGGCGTATGTTTAACACGAAGGCGCTCGTGTGCGTGCAGTTTTTTCACAGTCTCTTCTTTTCTGCGGAAGACTAATATATAATCCGATAGAGAACAGGTGTATAAAGGTCATGAGAGGCGAAAACGCATGATAAAAGAAAAGAAAGAAGAGACGACGGTTTTTAGGGGTTGAAATGGAGGTCGGAACATGAAAATCGAGATATACGCGACATCGTCGTTGTCTTCTTCTGCCTCCCCAGTCTCGTAAGTGTAAATAGAGTGAGCGAGCGAGTGAGAAAGCCCGAGAGAGAGAGAGAGAGAGAGAGAGAGAGTGAGAGCGCGATACAAGCGGGGGTGCGAGTGCCATTACGGCGGCGGTTCTCTTGCACGCAAGACATTATAGGCGGCATGAGCCTTAATATTCGTTGCGCTGCACCTCGAAAGCATCTCGCGATTACGCTTTTATTCTCTTATTACACATAAGTGAGTCGCGGAGTTTTGTTTGGATAGTGGAGGGTTATGATACGCGTTGCCTCCTTACATGTGCAGTTTTTTGATTCTCAGTTAGTCAGTGATGTTATTGTGCTGAAAATTTGAATTATTGAGGAAACGGGCCCTGACTTTATTCACTTCGTGATCCGCAATAATGATGTACTCGATGCAGGAGATGAGTCTTGATATTTTATTGCAGAAAGCTAGCTTGGTAGGTTATAGGGGTTAGATATTCATGGATTTTCTCAAGCAATTTGGAATACTTTGTTTGAATCACTCTGGAGATCTTTTGACAATGTATTATTTTCTTTATAATTTTTCATAGTGTTACTAAAGTTTAAAATTTGAATTAACACAGCATCAAGTTAACACATGCACAATACGATAATTGAAATAAAAATCTTAATACAATGTTCTACGATTGATTCAGAACTTTATTTTTGTGACTATTATTAAGATTATGTAAGTTTACTAATATTTTTTCATAAGACATAAATAATTTTAATTAGCATTTTAATATTATAATTGTTGAAATAAAAGTTTGTTATAAGCAAATTTGAACTTATCATTCGTTATAAGAAAAAAAAAAGTAGTCTTAACGCTTATGTAATTTAAAGTAAAATAGACACCTGCAAAAGTATTAAAAAAAAAAAAGACAAAAAATATGTATTTCACAAGCTAATATAAGTAGTTATACTACATTATTATATCGTTGAATTATATTTTATTCATATGTTTTTATCATCTTAGCACGCAACATCGTTTATTAATGCATCACTTTATTTTAGATATCCAACTGATACGCTGCAATGAATTTTCCACCGTTTGGAGGCCATTTCCCTGGTGCCATACCGAGTATCCATCAGTTTACGACGGAGGGCTCGGGTGGTGCCAGTGCTCGCTACGCTAATCACTTTTCCAACCAACCTCCCATTGGAGTACCAGTGGTGGCAAAGTATAGGCACGAAGCAAATAGCGTCCAAAGTCAGTCCCAGGTGATGATGAACAATAAAACTGCCTATTCCAATAGCAATGTTCATCATTATTCAAACGTGCCATACTCCCAAGCCCAAGGTGTACAACAGCGACCTTCGAATTCACCTAGTATGCAAGAAAAGCGTTCTTATCATCAGGTAAGAATAACGAAGCGCGACTAACCGTTTATTTTTATTTTATGCAACTCCATGCTTATTCGATAGGTTAAAATCAAGCTTGGCCCATAATAATTTTCAAACGCTTTAACAAATATACATATTAAACTCGATAATATTAAATTCTTCATTCATCAGTTAGTTTTTTTTATCTCCATGTCCAATACTATCCTCCGTACCCTTATGTCTGCAAGAGCAATGAAAAATGTTATCAAAAAGCCACGCCAAACTATATACAGAATCGAAAACAGTTGAAAACATTCTTCTCCAATAAGGTATAACAAATAAAATTCTTTAATTGGACTCTAACGTAGTCGTACGCAAGCAGAATATGTCACTTTGATGCTACAAACCCCTCTCGAGTCCCAATAAGCAGTCTTTAACCTTGTCCGCCGGATCTGATTTGATAGACAACGGAGACGATAAATCAGCAAGACGTGTGCAACCTTCTGCAGGACAGTAGCGGCAAGGACAAGAGCAGCAAGGACAAGCAAAAGCAGGCTGCGGAGGAGCAGCAACAGCAGCAACGTAACAATGGCGAGGCGACGACGAACGGGGGCAATCAGCAAGACTACATGCACCAGCATCATCAGCAGCACGCGCACACGCAGACGCCGGCTTCAATGCCGGCCACGTGGCAGTCACTGGCGACACCGGGCTCCACCGTCGCTGACTACCTCAGCCACCTGCCTGCGAGTACGCTGCCCCTGAGTCTCCATCATTTTCTCAAGTACTCGGCGGAGAGCATAAAAAAGGAATCCGAAATGGCCCAGACGACGACATCAGTGGCAGCCGCGACCACTACCACGCCCAACATCATGATGTCGCCCAATAACAAAAAGAAGAAGAAGAAGAAGGCGCCTAAAGAGAAGAAGCCCCGTCCTAAGCCAGGTTTGTCCTTATTCTCTTGATAATTACATAGTCAAGAATGTGTCCCTCCCGTCCTTTCGCTAAAGTGCAATCTTCCAATTGAAAAGTATTTTTGCTCGTTTTGCGTAAAGGTATGCAGCCTGTCAAGCGTACGTAGAACTACAGTCAGTACGATTTTACCAAAATCGATATTTGAGAAAATACATCTATACTCTTAATAACTTCTACTAGTTATTGGTGGAAAAAAGCCCATTGGCCCTTTATAATGGACATTAAGATGGATCGATGGATAGATCGAATAAATGTGTAACTTTTCAATTTTTTTGTTATAGCTTACACGCGCGTAACATGTTGTGTAACATTCGAAATAATAATAATTAATATTATTACCAATGGAAATGCCCTTTCATTCCCATTATTACGGCGCTAAAGCCATCTCTATATTAATAAATTATATTCTAGGCGAAATACGATTAACCACGGCGCTAGATGGTTCGACCCTATACTGCTGTCCAGAGTGCCACATGGCTTACCCGGAGCGCGAGCTTCTGGAGCAGCATCTCTTGGGACATACGCTCGAGCGAAGATTCGTCTGCGATATTTGCGGTGCTGGATTGAAACGTAAGGATCACCTGACGCGCCACAAGCAGAGCCACAATCCGGAGCGGCCTTACGTCTGCACAGTTTGCCTCAAAGCCTTTAAAAGGAAGGAGCAGCTGACGCTGCATTTTGTCATTCACAGTGGCGAAAAGCGCCACGTGTGCACCGAATGCGGTAAAGGATTTTATAGGAAGGACCACTTGAGGAAGCATACCAGGAGTCACATCGCCAGGCGAGTTAAAGCCGAGCTCAGTCAGAATGCCGCCGGTAAGTTGTGTCTCCCACTCTCTTTCTAGCTGGGTGGTCACGGTGGGTGGGGTCGCAGATTCATTTGGGAAGGAGTATGGATTAAATCCTTGAAGGAGTAATGCCCCGATCAATATTTTCCCAGACAGTGGTTATACTATTCTCTGTTGCTTATTCGCTTTATAAAACGAACTCTCACAATGATCGTTCCACGTTCCAATGCTCGCGATTATTTTTCAAACATATTTTATTTGTGTGTGTGCGTGCGTGCGTGCGTGCGTGCGTGCGTGCGTGCGTGCGTGCGACTACTTGTATGAGCTCTTAGCTACGATCAAGATAATATTTATCGCTTCGAATTTAAAAATTAAAATCGAAAATTATTGCTTAGACGTGCAAAGTTATAGAATATACAAAGTTAATTACGCTCGTCGAAACTTGTTGGTTCGTCAAAAACTGAAGGACCAAAACCCGGAAGTTAAATATACAATTCATCGTTATAAATTACAATTAACGCATGAACGCAGTTATTGCTGTGCAATATACATTGATTGTAAAAAGTCAGGTGCATATTGAAACTTGAAATACCTTTTTACGTAATTATGAAATGGTGACTATATCAATGCTCAAAATTTCTAACCTATTAGTGGTATATTTCATATCTTACACGACATTTTTATAACATTTCTCACAAACGATTATAAATTCGCATTTTTCTTTTTTTTTCCCCCGTACCAGTTTTCGCGGCTTTTTCATAAGCATTTAATTACCAAGGTACCACGTATTCCAACAAATACCCATTCAAGAAGGCAACTGGTTCTCGTGTCTTAAACCATACATTGCCTTACTTGATATTACGATGCGATTCCTTCGATTCATTGCTTACATTTACATTCTGGCCAATACAGGCGGCCAACAGCAGCAGCAACAGCAACAGCAGCAGCAACAACAGCAGCAACAGCAACAACAGCAACAGCAGCAACAGCAGAGCAGCGTGACGAGTAGCCTGCAGTCGGGTGGCAGTGGCTCGGGCTCGATCCTGCCTTCCGGCCACCCAGGCGCCGCTCTCTTGTCCTGAGCCCCGCCACCCGGGAACTTCCAAGTTCCCCATCCGGCCAACCTCCTTCACGCGCACGGCGTAGGCGGGGGTGGCGCTGGCGGTGGCGGTGGCGGTGGCGGCGGCGGTGGTGGCGGTGGTGGCGGCGGCGGCGGTGGCGGCGCGAGCAGCAGCAGCAGCAGCAGCAGCGCTGCCTCCGTCCACCACACCCTCGCGGCCGCAGCCGCTCACCAGCATCACGCCCAGCAATTAGCGGCCGCTGTCGCGGCGGCGAGCAGCAACCCCGGCGGCTATCAGGCGGCAGCGGCCGTTGCCGCCCACGAGCTCGGCACCTTCCTCGGTACCCACGCCAAGGATTTCTGAGGGCGGGACGATCGCGCCTCCGCGCGATCCCGAGGTCCCAGGTACGGCCAGTGCTGCACCTGACGGGGCCGCGAGCTTTCGCTTTCTTGGGTCGCGCAGGCACGTCTGGCTTTCAAGGCCGCGACTGGGCTCTCCTGGGGGGCCCTAGTGGAAAAATCCAGCCGCGGCAAGTGAGAGACGCGAGCGTTGGGCCCATATTTGAAACTCAAGCTTTTTCGTTGTGCGTCTGAGCGATTATGCTCGATGTTCACGTGCGCCCCCGTGGATCTCGTGCTCGTTTGACGAACGCGCGACCTCGACGGGGATGGAGGTGGGGAGGAGCTAGGCTAGCTTTTGAGGATGGTGGTTGATGCACACTCTCGGTTAAGTGGATGCGAATGCTATAAATCAATTGAAACTTATTTATTTTATTTTGTTACTTGTGTTACTAACATACTTACTTACTATTATTGTCCATTAATTCTGCCGGTACATTTATTCCAAAGTATTATTTTTAAACGAGTCTTTTAATCTATTGACTGTAATTTGCTGGAGGATTGTAGACTCTTCTCGACTGGAAAATATTACTGCCGAATGTACGAAGTACACAACTAGGTTTTGCCTAATTAGTTTTCACGATTAATGCGTAGCGATTTTACATCGTTTAACATTGGAACAGTAAGGATAAGGTATCTCGGCGATTTGACATATTAATTATTTTCCAAGATACGAGAGTTACATGAAATTATTTTCTTGTGACAATTGAATATATTGCTGACATTATATGCGCGCGCGCGCGCGCGCAATATAAACATTGCATCTTAACGAATAATTAGCGGCTCTGAGTAATATTGCAAATTACTTCGTATTTCAGTATTCGCAGTAAGTTGAAGGAAGAATGTTAGATCGTGTGACACGTCATCCTACTTTCGCGGTGTTGTATAATGTTGCAAGTTTTACTAGCAGATGATGGTCGTAAACTTGCTGAAGCTGGATTTTAGCAATTATGGAAAGAACGATTTCTTAACGATTTCCTTTGAAAAAGAACAAGAAAAAAAAAAGAAAAAAAAAAGAAAAAAGCTTCTGTTTCAAAATGCGTTCAATTCGATACGATTAAATACAAGTATAATGCAAAAAATGGAAAATAATATTTTAGTGATTTTAAAGAAGTATTTAATAGTTAAGTAAATATCATCTTTATTAATAAATGTTTTTTTTTTTCTTTCTAAATGTACTTAAATATATTAGTACATGCAATAAACATACGATATAAATATATAATTATTCATAAGAATAGTATATACTAAATAAGGCAAAACTTGCACTAATTAAAAATCAAAATTTTAGTGTATAAATATTTTGCTGGACAGCAAGTATAAAATTTCATTATTTTGTTCCGAGTCTTTTTTGTACTTCGACAAAAAATATGCTTTAATTTAAACATTAGCATAATGGATTGTGAAAATAAACGATCAACCATAAAGAAATTTTTCCACTAGGGTTTGACTGTAGTTGTAACTACATCCGATGCCTTAAGCCAAAGGAATGCGAAAGTAATCTACTCATTCTAATGTTGGTCGGACATTGGTTTCACTTTCAAATAAACTATAAAAGTAAACTGCAAAATATCGACGCATACGTCGATATAAAAGTAGGGCTGAAGTTAACGGAATAAAAAAAATAAATAAATAAAAAAAAAAATAATAATAATAATAAAAAAAATATGAAAAAAAAGTAACAAATAAGTATCAGAAACTATATTGCATTATATATGCTGATGCGTGTACATGTAAGGAATACCAAATTTCTTTCTAAGGATGTAATTTAGGAGTCTTGGGTAACAGAAAACAAAGTGTCGCTAAACAATGCGAGAGAGAGAGAGAGAGAGAGAGAGAGAGAGAGAAAGCGAAAGAAAGAAAAAGAAAAAATATTTTTATGATAGCTGGACGAAAACTTGGGAGATTTTCTTTGTACAATAAAAGTAATGACAAAAAGGTTGCGTGTTAGTACGAAGAGAAGTTTGTTGTATTTGGAAACCTTTTATTCCTTTTTTTATTTATTTTTTTTTCTTCTATTTTTTATTTTCTATCTTTTACAATATTTTTTCCGTTGTACTAAAGTACGTTTTAGTTTTTATTTTTTTATATGCATATATGTGTCATACACGTATCTCGTTAATAATTTTTACATTTTGATCTCAGATATTCTTGGGGATTGAAAATTTCCGTAGACAAAAGTTACGCAAAAGTAATTAATTCAGGCTTTTCTAAAAGGTCGTGAGCTTTTGCTAATGGATCTCTTCACATCACGTGTAGCCGCCTTTCGTTGCTCATGAACATTTATTAATTATTAATCTTAACGCGATGCATTGTTCCATTAATAATTTTATAAACTATACTAGGCAGCTTTAAGCTTTAATATTAAAAGTTCTTAACGTAATATTAACAAGTATTATTTGCAATAGCATTAAATTAAAATTAATTTTGAAAAACGAATATTTTGATAACATTTTGTTTATAGAATAATAAAGTAAGTCCAACACGGTGTAATAATTTCAACAAAAATATCATTTTACTCAATTCAATATGAACACATCGTGTTTGTGACATATAGAAAGCCATGAAAATGAAAGCGACGAAGGCAGATGCATTGTTAAATTTCGAAGTTAAAAGCGAGAGCGACTGAAGTAGCGAAAGAATGAAAGCGACAGAGAGAAAGCACACTTAATTCGTACTCGAACAAGGCCTTAGCACAGTACTATAAATATAAGATAAAGGAAAGAACGAAGTTGTGGCAATATTTTATATAAGATCGGATGCATAATGTATTTCCGATTAGCACTTTGTTTTTACCGATTTCTTAATGAACAAGAATTATTATATATAATATGCAAAGAAAGAGATTGATGACAGTATTTTATATTTTACGCTAATGCTTTGATAGAAAGAAAAAAACATTTTCGTCGTCCTTGAAGTATATGTGTATCATTTGTAATGCATGTATATATATATATATATATATATATATATATATATATATGCGTGCGTGCGTGCGCGCGTGTGTGTGTGTGTGTATGTATGTATGCATGTATGTATGTAGATTTATTCGTTTTGTGATTTTTTAGAGTCGTATGCAAGTAAACTTTTAAAGCTCGAATCACGAGTTTCAATTTTTAAATGTTTCTTATGTTTTTTTTTTTTTTTATTTATATATATACATACATTGTTTTCTTTATAAATGTTTTTTGTAGATCTTTAATTTCGTTGAGCGCTGACAAATTTTTTCGAAGTTTCGTCAACTTTAGAAATGTCTGTATTCTTTATTTGTACTTGAACACGATCGAAATCGTTTACAAAAGGATGAGGTTAGTGTTTTAAAATAATTTAAAATTAGAAGCATTTTTTTATACGAATACCTGAAGCTTCGTATTTAAATCTTTATAAATAATTGGAATAACATACTATATTATGCAACTATATTATGTTCAGAGTAACATAAGCATCGAGGCATTTGTATTTTGTCATTTAAATAAAAAATAAGCCAGATACGATGTTCGAGTTTTATCATAAACAACTAATTGTATAGATACTAACTTTTGTTATCAAACATTAGGATCCTTTAATACTGTAAACTGTGCCATTTTTATATTATGCCATTATTTTACTTGCCGTTTTTACAATATTTTATAAATTGTTTTCTGTAACCGTATTGTTATTTAAGGACTATTATCATACTGTACGATCGATGCGATTATATTTACATTGATTCATAATCAAATACATAAGAGAGAGACTGTCGATAATAAATAGTAATTCAAATTTTAATTGATAAAGGGGAAAAAAATTATATTTTTCTACATTAATTGGAATTTGCATGATTATCACATTTATTCATTGGAATTTTTTAAATTACGTTTTCCGATATCCAATTTTCATGCACATCTTTCTATTTTCAAATGAAAAAATGGGGGCAGACTGCATTGTTAAAAATAATTGTAGAAAATTTAGCATCTACTAGCCCAATTTTGAATACGGAATTGTTATACGAGTTTGTCTAGTTATTACTTTCATTTTACCATTTATCGTGACTTTATTCACCTGTATTACCTCTATGCTCAAGCTTTACTCTTTTAACTCAGCTCTTAACGTTAAACTATACATTATTTGATTCTAGTCGGTCGGCAGCTCAAAGCAACCAACCTCAATTATCTAATTCAATTTCTATAAGCAGTGAATGACGAAGTAATGACTACTCAATCGCTTCTAACTATTCCATTTTAAGGGTGAATATTTTTCTTGCAGCATAACATTCAATTTTTTCTTCTTACGTAAAAATTGAATAATAACACCCACCGACACACACGCATACACACACACGCGCGCGCGCGCTAAAAGACAATTTTACTTTTAAAATAAGAATGAGCAATTTTTAATGAAAACTTGATTATTTAAATTTATCTGACAAAAGTGTCTGATATCATGCATGTGCATAAATGACTAAAAACTATCTCTACCGCAATGGGTGCAATTTTTCAACAATTTTTTTATGAATATTTTTCCAATAGAAAAATTTAAGATCAATGTTACGATGTACGATTATGCAGAGTAATTGCATTTAATGCATTTCAGGATCAGTACTTTGTTAAAAGATAAAAACAAGGAAAAAAGAGCATTATTGCAATTTATTTTTATTTCTTTAGAATGCTTTAGGTGCAATGTGAACTACTAGGTAAAATAATAAGGAAATTCAGGTTTCGTCAGACTTC